AGACAGCCTGCGGCAAGGTATTTTTTTTTCCTGTGTTGTTTCATCACTTAGTTCTCTCTTGTCATCGTTTTCCGTAAAATATGAATATCATTTCTACTGCAGTCAGCCAGTAGTCTCGCTATAGAAGCCTGCTTTCACTGTTGTCAAGGTCACTTCCTAATAAGACGGAGGAGTTCATTACAGGGGTCAAAGGGTGAGCAGACTTTCGGTATAATCTTGCACCTGTTTCTACAATAATCTTGGTCCACCACAACTGGAGGTCGGTCATCGTACAGGAACTAGTGTTCAAAGTCTTTTTACATCAAAATTTGACGTTGTGATCCGGAACTCCCTGACCAGGCAGATTTGAGTGTAGCAGAGAATGAAACCGTCTCATGTGCAACGAGTACACTGTCTGCTGCACGCGAGACGAAGGATTAAAATAATTACAATAAATATATAAATAAAAATACCAGGAATTCCTGCACAAGTTTGGTTTCAGAATGTGATGACTTGGTATCAGTTTCAGTTTTATCGAATGTGGAATGAGCAAATGTGTGATAACTTAGTTTCAATCTGTAATATATCAAGGTTGAAGGGGTGGCGTCAGCACATAAATTCCACTTTTATATGAAGGATGGGCACATTAATTTCAATCCAGCTGAAAACACGATTTGATTTTGGTGGAAATAGGAGTTGGAGTGAAATAACTACCAAGAGACGGCGCTGTTACTTTTTTTTTACAAAATTTCGATTATGTATTTATAGCTCGAGTAATACACCCATGATGGTCACCAAATCCAATTTAATTATATATTTTTCTGTAAGTAATCTAAAGGCTTCATTAGCCCTGTCATGCGAAGATTGTTTGTGTTTTAGCGCAAAGCTACACAATGGGCTATTTGTCCTTTGTACACCGTGGAGATTCAAGCTCCTAGTCTTGTAAGTGTATCGATGACCCGCAGGGGACGGAGACTATAAATGTCCAGTGTTCATAGAAAACTCCCAATTATTTTTAATAAAAAAAATGATATTTGAAAACATTGTTTCTTATTGAATTTTCCAAACTTCAACCGAGAATTAATTACGAACATTAAAGACAGTCAAGTATCTGATCTGACGGGTTAATGTTTTTGTTTTTCTATTTCAAAGTTTTTGATGTAAAGAAAAATAAATAAAACCTAAATGTTCTGTTAATGTGGTGAAATGTAAGAAATTTAAGAGTACCATTCTCCTTTTTACTATAAACAAAAATTAATTGTCCAAGTAATGCCAATAACATTAAGGCCTAACTCCTATGTTATTCCATGTAAAAACTTAGTGTACCGATGGAATTTTAGATACGTTACTGTAAAGCTATACATGTTTATAGAAAATCTTAAGCGTAAGAAAAAAGGTTCAGAGAATCAGCTTTGAAAGTCCAGACGACTATTGCAAAGTGTTGAGATTATTATGTGCTGGAGTTGGAATTTTACAGCTGTACGACACATGCGCACGTGGGCTAAACGGCCAGGTCAGAGACCCCCTTGGATTCTCGTTCCTAATTTTGAACTACCGATCAGAGAGAAGGCAATCAACCAACTTTAGTTCATTTTATTTTTGAAATTATAAACATTTGCAACCCGTGAAAAGTTTTATTAAGAGCTTACACGCATTTATGTTTCTCAAGCAATTTCCGAGTTCGAATAACAATTGTTATAGCGTGAAAACTTTTTGATGGTGAAGTGTAATTACGATCAATTATTTGTGTCATAATAGTATTAGGCTTATTGCATTTCAAACAATACATTCTTTATTCGGTCCCTTAAGGTTTTTCTGAAAAGAAGCGTGTATTTCTACCAAACTACACCCGCCATGACCATTGTTGATGAAGAGTTTTATTCAATGCAAAGCAAATCAGACCGACTGGGATAGTGGTGGTCGGAACACTATATATTAGACACTTGTCAGAATAACAATTATGGTGTGAACGTCTGTTGCTGGCGAAGCTAGATTATACATTTGTGATAAAACAATATTATTACGATTATTGTACTTTTAAAACGTCGTATGTAGCAATATGCGTCGTCGGTAGTAGACATGACGGATGTGCCATATAATGTATTAGAAATGCTATCAGTAGTAATATTATTATACATTCTCGAAAAATGTCCCAAGTGACAGAATAAAAAATGTGTTTAAAATACAATAAACCTTGTGACAAATATGATAAATTCGTTTAGAAACACGTCACAAAGCGAAAAAAAAAACGTTTTTAATGTTTTTTTTCTATTCCTGTTGTACTTTTTCATATCTAACAATGTATGAAAATTGTTACGAAACAGGAATGTGTGTTTTTGAAAGACAACATTTTTATTGTCCAAAACAAAGAACAATGTTGTTATTCTAATTCTAACATCTATAATTGTAATTGTGAAAAATAAAATAAAAATTCTTAAAGTTTAACTTTAAGGACTTATGGAGGTTGAGTGCTTGTATACTTTATAATGTTTCATTCTGTCGTTGACGTTGTAACCCCGCTTTTTCAATTTCAGTGTTTAGTTGAACTTAAAGACAAACATATATATATATATATAATTATTTGAACTCAAAATATCTTTCATCCATTCGTATCCCCTTCTCCATTACATCCGCTAAGCCTATCCATTCGTATCCCCTTCATCATTACATCCGCTAAGCCTATCCATTCGTATCCCCTTCATCATTACATCCGCTAAGCCTATCCATTGGTATCCCCTTCATCATTACATCCGCTAAGCCTATCCATTCCTATCCCCTTCATCATTACATCCGCTAAGCCTATCCATTCCTATCCCCTTCATCATTACATCCGCTAAGCCTATTCATTCGTATCCCCTTCTCCATTTCATCCGCTAAGCCTATCCATTCCTATCAACCTTGACATAAAATTACTAGTGTAAAATAATCTTATGCCTAGTTATGACAGAAATAAATTCTACATTTGTATGTTTTCCAACCTCTGCCCATTAATAATTATTATAAAATTATGGTAATTAGAACTACAAAACCCTTACCTTGATAGTTCAGTAATAATTAATTACGCACCCGACCTCCTGTCTTGTCCAGCCCAAGGCTAGTTATTTATAAACTTTTATAGACCTTGAATAACTAGCGTCCTCTTTATGATCTCAGAAAGGTAACAATTTCATTTATAAAAAAGTATTCTTAATGTTTTGTAACATTACTGCAAAAAAAACTTGTAAACTATTATTTCCCAATCCTTATCTCCATTATTTTAAAATTTAATTGACACTAATTGAACATTAGATGGTCGAATATCTTTTTAATTGTAACTATTCCCCTTGATAGGATATACGGGACTACACTGCTTGAGGTAGGTAGACCAAGTATGGGTTTGGTTTGAATTTCGCGCAAAGTTACACGAGGGCTGTCTGTGCTAGCTGTCCCTAATTTAGTAGTGAAAGACTAGAGGGAAGGCAGCTAGCCATCACCAATGAATAGGGAGATTGACCGTTTCATTACAACACTCCTAAGGCTGAAAGGGCGAGTATGCTTGGTGAGGATTCAAACCCGCGACCCGCACATTGCGAGTCAAGCGCCCTAATCACTTGGCCATACCAGACCACCAAGTATGGGAAAACTAAAAAAAAAAAAAATGCTTTTATCAGAAACGGCTAACTGCACATTAGAATCACAGGGGTTTGTCGTTCCAATTACCATAATTAAAAAAAAAAGTTAATAGCGGAGGTAAGGACCATACAAGTGTAAAAATATGGGTTGGTCTATTTCTATGAAAAGGTTATTTTAACAATTACCTTTTATATCAAAATATTGAGAGTGACTGCCTTCCCACAACTGGCTGCAGACAGCGAAAGGCAGTAAGTAGCAGCTGAGACGTTGTGAGTCAAAACTGTCAACTCCTAATCCCAGACAGCGAAAGGCAATGAGTAGTAACTGAGACATTGTGGGCCACAGCTGTCAACTCTTAATCCCAGACAGTGAAAGGCAGTAAGTACTTGCTGAGACGTTGTGAATGAAAACTGTCAATTCCTAACCCCTATTTTTGATCTTTCGTAGAAGCTACCTAGTTCGATACTTGCGTTTGGATTATGTCTGATAGATGGAAAATTCCTAACGCTTTTGAGTGCTATGACCACAGACATTTTCCGTTATGAATTAATAAATAATGGATAAAATTGTCTTTTCTTTTTTTAGGTTAGAATCTCATAATGGATATTTCGATTTTATTTTTTATACCAACGTCCATCATTGTTATATATAGTGATAATTAGATGGCCTATAAACAATATATATAATGTGTAGTATTAGAACTGTTTACTTGTATCTACATATATATGTGATTCATATTGTAGTAGCAGTTTCGATTTTTCGTACACTTAAACTTTTATTTATATAAAGAACAAATAATTGGTCTCGTGTAAGATTTCTATGCACTGCAATCAGAAGATTAAAGTACAATTTTTCACTGTCTTGCAATAAGAAGTTGTCATGAACAAATATTGGTTAAATCATCAAATGACTAAAGAGATTCAAATACACTGAAGTATTTTACAAAATAAAACTTCCAAACAACAGTTTTTATTCATCCCCACATAGGTGGCGCATTCATGCACTCTATTAAACAACAAAGTTAGTAAAAAAAAGGGGGGGGGGTATTTTTATTTGATTTTTCTTTTTATCCTAAAACAAATATCTGTAATGTGTGAACATTTTTATTAATAGCTTTACATAATAATTTTAATTTTCTATCATGTCGAATTGATTCGTTGGTTACCCTATTTTTTACAAATTTATTAACTTACGTGAAACTAATATTTTCATGTAGATTCCGAACTATTTGACGGTGTATACCAAAGTCTTTCTAAGCCTTGTCACCGAGTACTTGTGATTTGTTATTGCGAAAAATTAAATACTCTAAGACATTAAATTAAAGTTTAGTTTTCATGTTGGCTTATTGGGATAACCTAAACATCCACACGCAAGGCTATACTTTTAGTAATATATATTTTATTAATCTTTCTTTCCTTCTAGTTAGGAATACAAAACAATTTACGCCATCAAACTTACGTATTTGAGCCAGCCACCTAAAGTTTACAATAGAAAACAAAAATAAAATGAAATAATTAAACATTCCACTGATTTCATCTAAAGCCTTTACAACTTACAATAGATTATAGTACATTTAATTTTCCGTGTCCATTATTATTATTATTGAATTTTAACGATTCCTATAAAACCAGACTGGTTGTATAAAGTATTTCTAGAAGCATAGTGTAGCATTCATATAAAAAACAAACAAAATAAAACAATTATAACTTTTCTGTATAAGTCCTTTAACGCTTTTGAAAAATTTGTCATGTATCTTTTTGGGAAAAGAAACATCTCTTATATAATTTTACAAGCTGTTTTGTATTTTTGTTAGAATATTTTTAAAATTGTAATAATGTCTCTAGTTTAGTATAGATGCCAGCACTGAGGTATAGAATGTTTCTTCAATCTTATCGGCGAGCGGAATGTACTTAGAACCTTTAAAACATAAGACAAAAGAATGATTTAAAAAAATATTTATAACTTTGACTTATAAACACATAACCCGTCTTAGAATATAACAAGTTCAAGAACAAATAAAAAAACGTAAAGGTACGTCATTTAATATATATATTTATTTATTTATTAGAAAATAGGCTAATTTAATCATTCTAAGTCACAAATTAACATAATGTAGGGGATATTTTATATTTCTTTAGCTTCAGAGCTACAAGTTGACGCGCACTTGAGATTTAATTTCTTTCTTTCCGTTTCGCCTTTTTTTTTTCTCTACAAATTATCTCGTTCTTAAGCGCAACTTTTTAGGACTTACTTTTTAAGAGTATAAAGCATATTTACACAGTATGACGTCAGGAGACCTAATGTTCTGACGTCAAATATTAATTTAAGTTATTACGTCATATTGGAAAGTTCCACGTCTGCTATTATTTCATCTTCTCCTATACAGCAAAAGAAGAAGGGAAAAAAACGATTGATTTACGCGTTTTGTAAAAACATAAACAGGAAAATATTATTATTACTTATAAACGATAATTGTCCGTATTAAAAATTTTAAAAACAAAAAGTAAAATATGAACGTGCGAACGTTTTTCTTAATTATACATAAATTAAGAAGTTTTCGCTGAACATAGTATTTCATAACTGTTATATGTTGATTTCATAACTGTTATATGTTGCATATAGAATATAGCTTTGCAAGAAGTTACATATGAACTTATTTTAAAGTGTCCAAAATTAAAGTTTCTGGGAAGAATTTTGTCTTTTATTTTAATCCGTATGACATTAGTAAAAGTAGTAAAAACGAATTTATTTGTTATTGTTTTTTTGTTATAATTTACTTATTTTGAAAATTTTCAAGCACACGAATTTGGGAAATTGTCAAAATCAAAGGATTCGGGGTTTGCTTTAAAAGGTAGACTGAGAAAAGGAATGCCAAGAAGAACCGTCAAAATAATGAAATAAAAATGCTGAGATTGGACGCCCCCTTTCGTAAATTACTGAAATCCGACAATAAAATAATTAATAATATACTCAACGCAGTTTCTAACTGAAAAAAAAAAAAAATAGGCACAGTTCAATAATACTTTGCTGCCATCTTCTGGCAAAGTATAACAAGCTAAGTACGATGTTCAATTAGGCTTAGTTTATCTGTGTTTGTTTGTTTCAGCGCAAAGTTTACACAATGGACTATCTGTGATGTGTCCGCTGCGGGATCGAACCCAAGTTCTTGGGTTATAAGCTCTGAAGCTCATCACTGAAACACCAGGGGGGACGAATTAATCTGAAAGATGAAACATTTTTTTTTTATATCACTGAGACTGGAGAACAAAACGTAGTGTTTGTCCAAGTATAAGCTCTGGCTAACCTATCTCTAACTCTGCCATTTGATTCAATTTTTTATTAAGATGGCGAATTCCAAACCTTCGTCCTAGCCGAGAAGATAAATATATACAAGGTTAATGTTTCTTGCATATCGATGACTCACAGGTTTTGTCAAAATAATGCTAATAATTATTCACCAAGGTTGAAATTTCTATGTGTGTGTACTTTCACAAAAAACACCGGTATTCACATATCCTTTCTTTGATACGTAAACAATAAACTCACGGACATTCCGAACAAAGCTATATAGAGTTAAGAAACCTGATTTATGAGATGACAACAAAGTTAATTCTGCGACTTCCTCATTTTTTTAGAGCGACCAGATCTGGAAAATTGGCGATAAAAAAATATTTATATTTTGCTGTTTCTGGAAATATTGCGATTCCCTTACTTTGAAAAAAAAATCTATTTACAAACCGAAAGTGAAACACAAATCTTATCATCACAGAAGTTTACAAATGTGAAATTTCACACACACACACAAAAATATATTTACGATTTTTAATATCTGACTAAATTTTCTTAATAATTCATTAAAATGTTAGAAAATATATAATAGTTAAATTGGATTATTATTTTTATTATCCTCTTCCTATTTCAACGTGTATTAATTTGCTAAGAAAATTGTTGTATAACCGTTTTAGAGTACGCTTTAAATCTTTATAAACTCTTGAAACTGTTGTTTTTTTTAACTAGTACTTGATTAAAAACAAGAGTGCCACACAATAAAAAGCTTGCACGACGCTGTCTGAAAATAATTCGTTTCTCTGGTGGATCACTCAGATTTGTTTCTCTGTTCCAGAATGTATGCGCATAGCTACCCAAAGGGTTATCTGCGCATAGCCGTCCTAATTTTGAATTGATAGACTAGAGGAAAGGTAGCTAGTCAATAGCACCCGCCACCAACTGTTGGGTTACTTTTCTCTGATCGAACAGTTGGATTTGACCGACGTTCTTATATTGTAACCAAGGCTCCAAAACGCGGAACGTGCATTTGCAATAACGAGCTGCGAACCACGAATCCTCGGACTCGCAGTCCGAATATGATATCCGCTAGGTCACACCTGGCTCGTGAATAAACAGAAGTAACCACCCTTTCTCTCGTTTTGTACAACTTTCTCAAATTGCAAGCATCAAGAAGTTTTTTTATGTCTTGTAGACAGCAAATGTACCTTGTAGGAAGAACTGTAGACTTTAAAGACAGATTATGATGACAATCATTGGATGCTTTGCTAACGTTACAGTGCGTAATATGCAGGTGCTAAGTAGGTAACTAATGTTCGTTTTCTTTTGACCTGATAATTAATAAAAGAATGACATTTCCTTAGGTTGAGTCCCTTAAATATTTTCAACTATTGCTGGGAAGTAACTCACACTTATGAAAATAAAAATAAAAAAACAACAACATACAAACAGTGACTATTTGAGCAACACCCTCTAGAAGACGAACAATTAATTGGCGGTCGGGCTGCGGTGTTATTTCGTTTGGAATATCAATGAGACACTGTAACTTGTGGCGAAAAAAACAACAAAGAAAGTAACACGGTATTCCCTTTACTTGAAGAAGCAATGTACTGAAGTTACCATTCGCGTTTATTGTATTTGATCGACATTGGAATCTTGGAAGTGCCTAGGCTGTGAGACCTAGACTTTGGTGGAGAGGGCTGAAGAGGATTAGCCCCACGGCTAGGAGGTCGTTCGTCAGAGAGAGCTCCAAACGATTCAGGAAAATGTTCAGGAGTTTCATCGGGTAAATTTTTCATCAGTTGCTCATTCTTTAGTTTCTTCTCCACCTTTGCTTTGTAGCTTTCAATGAATTTTTCCATTTCTGTCAAAAAATCATGGTCTGTATCAAAGTCAACATCCTTCAGAAGCTTCTGGACTTTATCTGGAGACAAAATTGGCTTTTTAATGGGATTCTTCTTCTGTGGAATGTGCTTGGGGTTAGAAACAATGGTCCTCGTCTTAGGAGCTAACGATCTTGCATGAGATTGAGATCCAGCAGATGGTGGTCTAAAGAGATCAGAACTAAGAGAAGGCCTAGGCGAGCGCTGACGGAATGCCCAAGTATTGTAGCCTGTGTCTACTTTTGGGCCAATGTTAGAAGTTCTAGGACTTCGATAAGAATGTCTACCTAAACTCCCTCTGTTCAGAAACAACCCATCTTCCAACGAATCGTTACTAGGAGATCGGCTCCTACGGATATCAGGCAGATAGTTTGAGGAGTCAGATGATCTCCTTCCATTTCGAGCTATATGTACAGGAGAACAGTTATTTAACTGAGTTACTCGAGGTTTATACACGTTATCCGAGCTTGGAGACTTTTGATTTATAGCTAAGGCTTTGACGGAGTGGTCAGGAAGATATGGAATCTTGGACTTTCCTTCTAATCGAGGTGTTGTAATTTTAACACCTGGTCCATGCACAGGAGTTTTGGAAACTTGAGGAGCACTTATACGCCTATCTGTAATTTCCTTACAGTCTCCCTCTGGTGGTAAGGAACTGAATCCATTTGTCAGATCACACTCGTGTTGGGTTACTGTGATAACGGGTTCTTCCCCACTATCTCCCATTTTCATTATCTTCAGCGGGGTCGACCTTTTATCTCGCTCTCCTCCGTTGGTCTCGTCGAACTCGATAAAATCTGAATGAGGTGGCTTGAGGCATCTGGTTAACTTACTGGTCTCGTCGCCCGCATTCGAAGATGGAAGTTCGCCACTGTTTGGGGAAATCCTTGAAAGATCCTTGGAGGAACCGTTCGAGTCTCTATGAGGAGGATTTGTAGTTAACATTCGGCGACGTGTCTGTGGAGAAGAAGGATGACTTCGTGGGTTGGAAACATTAACACCAGAAAGATTTGGCTCGAGAGATCTGAAAAGAAGTCATTTATCTGATGTTAACAGAAGAGATAATCTTACACTGGTGAAGAAAGGGTTCATATAACTAATACTAAGTGGGTTAGATAAATCATTGCCAACTTGGGATCAAGAAAAAAACAACTATCTAACAGATTCCGTATTAAACTGAGATTAAAGAAATAATTTAACATCATAACGTCACTTGAGCTCAATACCAGTCACAGTAAATCAATTATACTTCAATATGGATGTCTCTAACTTTGTTTGGAATCAGGGCCGAGAAGATAGCGCACAAGAAGCAAGAAATGGCGAGTGTAACGAGGCGATTTTTTTTAAAAATAAGTTCTGAGTAAGTTAATGTGTATTTGTTTAGTTGAATTTCGTGCAAAGTTTCCAGATAGCTGTCCCAAACTTAGAAACATTCTGAGTGAATACAAACGTAGTGTTTGTTTAATTGAATTTCGCGCAAAGTTACACGAGGGCTATCTGCGCTAGCCGTCCCTAATTTTGCAGTGTCAGACTAGAGGGAAGGCAGCTAGTCATCACCACCCACCGCCAACTCTTGGCCTACTCTTTTACCAACGGATAGTGGGATTGACCGTCATATTATAACGCCCCCACGGCTGAAAGGGCGAGCATGTTTGGTGTGACGGAGATTCGAACCCGCGACCCACAGATTGCGAGTCGAGTGCCATAACCATCAAACGTAGTGACAGTTAATGCATTCCAGTGGTTTATGGAAATGACACTAGGGGTGCCACTGTTTAATCTTGTCTGATATCACTACGTATATTTGACAATGGTACGTAGTACGTCTATCCTGTATTTTAGTGACTGGGGTATAAATTATGTTGAAGCACTATTATGAGAAACTTTACAAATTTTAGATAATTAGACGGCCCCCATTAAGCGCCTATTTGAAAAGAACACCCAGTTGTTTGGTGTGTTAGAAACAGGGTGAAAACAGTATAAACAATATGCGTATGTGTTGTTGTGTATTGTCGTGATTAACCGATTATTTAAGGCATTAATAAATTGTTCCCGCTTTAGTCGGTGCGCTCAAGATCCAGCACAATCTCTACCAGTACTGACCGGTTATACGTGACCTGCATGCTGGGGGATCCTTTTCCAGGTGACATGGTCAGTTTTGCTGATGTTGAAAACCGATGACCTGCAAAACGTGAAAACTTAATATCACAATGGATAAAAAAACAACAACAAAAGGATGGCATTTGGATGAATCTATACATAATCTATGATAAACAAAAAAAAATTAATTTATGTCTGATATCATATGAAAAAATCCATTCCATTCTCCCGTTTGTTTTTAAGTGATATCTGTTTTATTAACATCATTATATCTGATATCATATTACAACGTATATATATATTTAATACTATTTTATCTATTTATGACAAATAATACTATTGTTATTTAGGCTTACCTGATTTACACCGGCAGGGGTCGTGCTTATCGAGATAGTGTTCTAAGGTATCCCATCCACCACCAACACGGACCATGACATGATTACGAAGTATCTATCATCAACATAACATTTTATAAACACTTAAACATATCTATCATCAACATAACATTTTATAAACACTTAAACATATCTATCATCAACATAACATTTTATAAACACTTAAACAAATAAATATAGCGTACGAAAAACAGATACCATCTCGTGCCATGATTGGCCACAAAATGTAATTTAATAATATGATTTTAAGTCATTTACAGAGAAACATAAAGACCCTACTTATAACTTATCATCACATCTCGAACCTCGGACCTTTTGACCCAAGCTAGGGACGCTAACCACTAGGCCACGACAGATAAAAAGGAGGGGGGGGGAGGAGACTAATGTAGAGCAAGTTAATGGAAATAAAAATAAATATACGTGTTCGAAATTGAAAAGAAACAGTAAATGATAAACAGTAAAACTAAATATCTTGAACTTACCCTGACAAAGATCAAGATCTTGGAGTCGCCTATCCTGTATTTACCTTCAGACACTCTGATCATGGGAAACTGTGACGGGCACGTGCATCTACTGAGAAGATCCACCACCTGCGAAGAAACAGAATTGAAATTAAAATTTTGATTCACAGCTTCAATTCAGACTTTTTGACCGCATTGTAAAAACAAATCTTTACAGATGAAAAAAAACCCAACTTTGCTCTTTTTTTTTTTAAACACGACCCTCGGGTACGGAAACAATATTAAAAAATTCACTCAAATTTTATAATACGACTAAGTAATAAGTTAAGTAAAATAATGAAATATATAAATTCAATTTTATCAGGAATAAATACTAAAGTAATGATTTAAATACGGTGATTTACTCTTTCATTTGTTTGTAATTAAGCACAAAGCTACACAATGGGCTATCTGTGCTCTGCCCACCACGGGTATCGAAACCCGGTTTCTAGCATTGTAAGTCCGCAGACATACTGCTGTGCCACTGGGGGACAAAAGTTGAAGTGATAGATTAGAGGGAAGGCCGCCAACTCATGGGCTGCTCTAATCAAACGTGGAATTTGACCTTCACTCTTATAACCCACCAATAACTCCACAGTGCAACACGCTAGGACCTACTACTTATTAAAAGACAGTATTATTAACAATATTATAATTATGCGGCTACTGACTCAATTGTTAAATAACACCACAAATTTAGCCGTTTATCTTGGATGTTAATCTAATCTAAAATTACAGTGTTGATCACCACCTGCTGTTAGGGGGTGGGGGTTATAAAGTATACTGGTGTCATGCATTTTAAGTGAACAGGGAGTCAGTGATAGTGCATGAAGCAAGCAACTAGATTTTGTGTGTCTTATAAGAAAATGTATATTCCGTACGAACTTTAAAATTATTTTCTTTAATAGTATTAGTTAAAATGTTTAATCTATCTATATATACATATATATAATAGCGAAATGTCTGTATTTCATTCTCTGTATTTGTATCATGTCGAATAAATTGATTTGAATTGAATTGAATATCTTCCTTTTGGCACTTCTTATAGAAATGACAACTGTCAAGAAAGCGCTCACTTCAGTAGCGGTATTTTCTTGCACTTAGTAAAATGACAAGGAACGGTGGCATCCAGCGAATAAAACTTAGCGAACCTGAACGCTCTATTGCACTGGATGCACCCACTGCTTCGAAAAGCAAATATTTTCGTCAACAATACTTAGAAACAAACACACGGAATGAAAAAATACGGCTGTAAATGGTCAACTGGACAATCATATTGCATATACGCTACAATCTAAAGCAATGCGTTTTTATTTATTTACCGCTAGTTTGTTTTAACAGGCATTTGCTAGTATATATATATATTATTGTTAGTTCTGATCTATATAATAATTAGGATTCACTTACTTAAGTTAGTTAACATCACAACAGTTGTTATTCCTGAAAGTCGTTATATAAATAGCGCATAGACCACTACTGTGTTTGTCATATCCCATGCATCCAGCCTGACGATTCATGGCAATTTAAGAAAAGCCTCGTCGGCACTGGATATGGCAGACATAGTGTGGTTGACGTGTTGATACATGTTTTTCTTTGATTTAACTCATAACTACTTAGAGTTGCTTTAGCCAGAAGTTATTGATAGTTAATTTGCTATTTCTTTTACTTCTAATAATATAGAAACCCCATAATGCTTCCGCAGTAAACATGAATTGTTTCTCACAACCATTAAGATGTGGCGATTCTAAATATAGAATATAGAACAATATAGAATATAGAACAATATAGAATATAGAAACAAATATAGAATATAGAACAATATAGAATATAGAACAAATATAGAATATAGAACAATATAGAATATAGAAACAAATATAGAATATAGAAACAAATATAGAATATAGAAACAAATATAGAATATAGAACAATATAGAATATAGAAACAAATATAGAATATAGAACAATATAGAATATAGAAACAAATATAGAATATAGAACAATATA